AGGAGGAGAAGGAGGAGAAGGAGGAGAAGGAGGAGAAGGAGGAGAAGGAGGAGAAGGAGGAGAAGGAGAAAATGAAGAAGAAGAAGTCAAAGGAGAAGGAGGAGGAGGATAAAAAGGAAGAAGAAGTAAAAGGAGGAGAAGGACGAGGAGGAGGAGGAGGAGGAGGAGGAGTAGAAAGACCAACTTTGACGCCGCGCCACAATGTGCTGCCCTCTTGTTCTGGCATCCAGCGGGCTGCCAATGAAAACGGTGTAGTCTTGAATGGACACCAGACGGGGCATAATGGACACCGGCCAGCTGAGTTCAAGCCTTGACTTGCCGTTCGATTTGTCAGCGAAAAGTTATTGTTCCTCGGTTCGTCTTGCCTCCCCTCGGCCACTACAACTCGGCCATCGCCTGCTGCTCTCGTCTTCAGATCAGATGGCGGCAAAACATTCGCTTCGGCCGCCCATTTCGACACCGGCCAGCGGAGAGACTCGCTTTTGTCAGCTCGCAAATGGACGCAAAACATGTTGCTCGCACGGCCCAGATGTCCGTTCCCTTTTATCTAGCACCCCTCCTAGACGCTCGCTTTTCCCTTACATGCATTTCTTTTCTTTCTCTTCTCCTCCTCCTCCTTCTCTTTCTCGGTCTTGTCCTCGTCACCCTCACCTTCCCGATTCAGTATTATTCAGCCAATTCGGCCAACAATGCCGGTATGCATAACAATCACTACATTCCCCAATCAACACAACCGCTCCCCTCCGTCTGTGTTCACATGCCCATTCGCGATACAGGCTCGGTCGGACCGAGGGAAATGATAAACACAAATGTCTGTTTAATACGCTAAACAGTCCATTCTTCTTTAAGCCCTCGGGCATTATCGCGTGTGTAGGCTGCGAGATTGTCTACATACAAATGACATCCCGACGCATGCATGCACCAAACGCATGCACGACTGGTCTGATTGTCCGTCTGCAAGTTTGCGTCGCCACATACCCACACACACACATACACACACACACTGAAGGAGAAGGTTCGGCCGAAACAATGATGCTTGGACATGGCGGAAGGACTGACTCGTGCCAATGAAAGTCTCGAGTCAACGTCTGTTCCGCGCTAACAGATCAGCAGGTGTTGCAACCACTCTCGGCGAGTGCAGGCCGGCAAGGAGAGCGGTCACCCGTTAGGACCACTCGGACGCTACTGTCGGCTGAGTGGGCGGATTGTCGTCTGCCTCATCAGCTATCCACGATCCACGATCCACGATCCACGAGTCACGAGATACAAAATGAAGATGTCAATCCGTCACCTGCAATACACTATTCATGAGACATGATCAACGATCAACGATATATGCATCTCGCGATCCATTATCCACGATACGTGATCTACGATCTTCAATCCACAATCCTTGATCTACGATCCATAATCCACAAGCAACAATCTACGATCCATGATATGCATTCTGCGATCCATAATCCACAAGCAACAATCTACGATCCATGATATGCATTCTGCGATCCATAATCCACAAGCAACAATCTGCAATCCATGATTCGCCATCCATTATTTACGATCAAAGATTTACGATCAACCCTCCGCGATTCACGATATGGATCAGAAGAAGAGGAAAAGGAGGAGGAGAAGGAAGAGGAGAAGGAGAAAGACCAACTTGACGCAACGCCACAATGTGCAATGCTGTGGCAAAAGTGGCATCTGCGATGACACAAAGTGGGTGTGGAGCCACAACCAACACGATTCTGGGCTTCAAGGAATTCTGTATTTAGTTAATGTAGTAATTCGATTTAGTCATTTGATTCAGTTTACAATACCGGTTGGTAGGACTACCTCACGATTAAAAAGATGCACGATAAGCGGTACACTATACAATATCTACCATCTTCAATACACAATACACAATCGACGAAAGAAGATTATCGAGTTGTGATCCACGAAAAGCGATCTATGAGCGTCGATTCACATTCCGCCTTCCACGATCCACAATAGTCCATTAGCGATCTGGAATCAACAATCCGCGCTACACAATTCACGATTCACGATCCACGACCCACACTTTATATATGCAGTCTACGATTGAGAATGCATGATCTACTATACACGAGACACGACCCGCACTCTGCGATTGGCGACCCCTGATACGCCATCAATGATAGACAACTCATGATCTTCAACTCCCAATCCACGAGTTAGGATCCACAATTCACGATCTACGTTATGCAATGCACGATTCCTGATCCATGCTCAATTATCGCAATTCGCGATTCATGGTCCTCGACTCATTAACTCCGAACCACGATTCGTAATCAAAGAACTCTGATCTATAATCCGCCATTTACAATCTACAATCTTTGATCCTAAGTACACAATAAACGATCTGCGATACAAAAATTTATGAGCCACGGACAACGGGCTACGATCTATCATCTGCTGTCCGCATTGGCGATATACCCCATCAGCGTCACAACGCCAAAGCCAGACTAACGTCTGTAGACAGCCATTCTGCAAGGTGCAGTTTTCGCAGACACTTTTACTTTATTGACCGAAAAGACTTCGACGAAACGAAGATCAGCACGGACCAATTAATGATAATAACCCTCACGCTCATGACCATCCCAACCAGAATACCGTTCAGAACTACCCACCATCATAACGGCAACTCATATTCATACAAAGTGTGTGCTTTTCACATTAGGCGATCTGAGCTGACTGCAAGTTGAGTACTACAAGGCCCATGTTTGTGCAATGCTGTCGCAAAAGTGGTATCTGCGACAACACGGAGTGGGTGTGGAGCCACGACCAACACGCTTCTGGGGTTCAAGGCATTCTTTAATTGGTTAATGTAGTAGTACATTTGATTTAGTTTACAATATCGATGGAGGATCGGCATGCAGCTGGGAACATGGATTTGAAGAAAGAAGTCCTTGGCTCATGAGCATGCCTTCTCGATTCATCCGCACCGACTTTTCGCCTGTTTCACACTCAAAAGTCATTATTAAGACGTAAAAGCCTTTTTTGCTTTCATCAATATTTCTACGTGCTGCGACCTTCAGCTACCCCTCTCTACCAGTGGACCAGGCTGCAGTACAAGAGTAGGTATGTATAGGGAAAAGATGAGCTTCTAAAGCTTCCTTAGGAAGCGGGTATGAGTCAAATTTTTATCTCAAAGTAAAAGTTGCTAACACGAAGATTCGTGAATTGGTCACGACGGAAACAGCGTGAGAATTTTTCGTTTCATAAGCAGATTTCGAGACTGCCAATAGCTCTGATATAAGAGGTGATTTCATCCCTTTTTGTCTAAAGTGAGGAAAGATTAGTAGTTGAATTTTTCTCCAATCGAAAGCCTACTTATGAAACGTAAAATAAGTAACGATGTAGATTGCAAAAGCAATCGCCGAAAATCCCACCACAGAAATGGGATATGGGAAAGACCTAGGCCTCTTTTAAATTGACATCTTGCCCGTAATCTAAGAGAACTCGTGGCAGTATGTCTAGAATGCTGTCAACTTCAACCTGGATGAGAATATCTTTTGGAAAGCAAATTTATGTGAACTTCAATGGCAACGTGAAGCCCACTCATAGGATTGTGGGGAAGGTAAACAACCAGTCGTGCATCACCTTAAACGAATTAGGGTGAATTCATTTCTTTGTTGTACTCAGGTCAAATAGAAATTCAACTCATCTTCGATTAATAATGGCCAACGGTAGTTGGTGCACAAATCCTTAACTTCCGAACTTGCAGATTGCCATAACAACAGACTATTACTAGCCTCGAGACAAAATGGTAAATGGTCGCATAACAATTGTCATGTTCATAATCAGGACGGTCGACCTGGGATGCAGGCATACAGACAAAGTTGGCTGTTTACAATTTGCCGAGTATTTTGGTGAAATGTCGAGATGTTAGGCCTACAAATTTCATTATTCTTGATTATAAGAGCTATTTTATTTTATGTGATGAAGGACCGGTAGTCTAATTTTCCCACAATCACGTAAGCAGGCCTTAAGTTTGCATTGGGTTTCACATAGTCTTGTTTTCCAAAAGGTATTCCTATCCAAAGTAACTAGAACGCTTGTCCAGAACTCGTGCAACGCAGAAACTGCAGTTCAGTCGGCCGAGGTCGATTCCAATTCCTATAAACCTTGCATTTGCCTTGAGATTGTCGGAAGGCCGATATATATATATATATATATAAATAAACAAATATATACATTTGCTCCACAGTTAGTTTTGCTACATCTCCCGTCGCAACCAGCCCGTGAGCAGTTTTCCCTCAATTTACGCAACACCACTCATCTACAATTTGTACAGCGGGAACTGAGTGAACCTAACCACCGCATCCAGCCTCTTTGTTCAACCAATCAGAAGATGAAATTAAAAGTACTCAAAAGTGTTTTTAAGCCCAAAAATCGTTGCGCTCGGAGCTGTTTCTTGGCTGTGTTCTGTCAGCCGTTGTGAATCTCTGTCACTGAACATTAGACTCTTATACTTACAACATCGTCTTTGTCTTTACAACTCCGAAATTCTCATCTATGCAAATGGTACTCCATGACTCATTTTCTTGTTTTGCTATACAAGGCCGAAATACTTCATGCAATGGCGCGAAACCGGATTACATATGTTGAGATCTTTACACTGATGGGCTTGACAACCGAACATTCAATAGCAGAAGAAAAGTTTGGTTTCAAAGAATCTCTTGTGAGTGAAAGTGTTGGGTGAAGAGATTCGAAGATCGGTTCCACCAGAAGACGACGGTGGAAACCTCTTGACCAGCTGTCGATTGGCTTTACTGCAAGATTCATGCTGACGCTGTTTCCGAGGCAATCTCACTCGATTCGGGCGAAAAGGGGCTAAACTTTCGTCCGTCACACGACAGACATCATCAGAGCAAGGTATCATCGTCACACAAAA